CTGGCCTATAAGCAGACCTTACAAAAGAAGGGTTATGTTCTCCATCTACTGGCTTCGTCCGTCCCACGGCTAGGAGAGCGCACAGGTGGGAACCCAGTCATTGGAGCCTGAACTCTTCACTAGAACCTGACCTGTGAAACTGGTTTGAGCCTCTCTGTTAGTGAACTCAGCTGCATGACAGTAATGCTTGGAATGCCCCTGAAGATGCCCCGCATGTTACAAGGAGGAGAACACCCCTTCTGAACTGATCAGAGTCTGGGCTGCCCTCGGTACTCTCTTGCCACTGAAGCTGCATCTAGGAGAAAGATTTTAAGAGAAAAGTAGTTAGGCAGGAATTTGATTTTCATTAGAAAGTTTTAGCCATGCCAAAATATACTGAACTTAGAAGAACACTGAGAATTTACCCTGAGAGCTCATATAGGCCCAGGTCGACGGCTGGGGTTCAGGCCCATTAAAGAAATAGTGGTAGGTGGTACAAACATCTTGCTTAGTACATTTTTATGTGTTTGTTTATAAATAGTTTACTTTTATTCCTTCAACAAACATAACAGACACCTGCCACGTGCTGGGTGCTATTTACATGATGTGCACTGAGGTTACAATGTTGAACACCACACTGTCGCTCCTCTCATGGGTTTTAATGTCCGGGGGCTCAGGTGAGCTGGCCCTCCTGTCCTAGGGTGTGTTCCTGCAAAAGCAGACCCTGAGATAAGTGTTTGAATCCAAGCAGCTTGTTGGAAAGTAATCCCAGGAAGCACTAGTAAGGGACTGGGATGTGACAGGGAGACGCCCACACAGGGTGTGCTAAGGAGCAGGTCACTGCTGTGGGCACCTGGGCCCAGTCCTACTGGGGATCTCTGGGACAGAGAGAGATACTAATATGTAGAACCCACCTCCAAGATATTCCCCCAAGGGGTGGGAAATTGGGGATACACATCCACCAACCCTTGTCCACCCTTGGTTGAAGGTTGCTCCCATGGGGTGAAATAGCCAATGCGTCTGGCCCACCTGTGCGCTGGCTGAGCTTGCTGCGGAGGCTGGAGGAACCCTCAGGCAGTGCCAGAGGTGTCTGCATCAGAAAGCCACCGGCACATATGGAAGCCAAGAGCTTCTGTTGTCTCTAACTAACACGTATCCATGACTCCCTCCTCTCGATTCCTAACTGTACTCAACCTGCATTCAGGTGTTCACCCCTCCCATGCAGCCCGTGCGTCTTAGGGGCAGCTGAGCCCACCCCACTCTGGTGGGGGGGGTGCTGACTGGCACAGATAATCAGCAATTCCCTTCCTCCGACTGTGGCATGGGTTCAAGTGGGCACGTGACCCGATCCAATCAGAGTGGATCTCAGGACTCCTGCTCAGATTGCTGCGTCAGAAATGTTCTCTTTTGGAAAAGGAAGCTCATGGCAATCAGAGCTGTTGGCACTTGCTACTGTGAGGAAAACCAGCCCAAAGACAAAGCCAACACAGAGGAGGGCAGAGCTGAGAGAATTGCAAAGGAAGGTGGCAGGAGCTTTTATCTCTGGAGCCTTCAGTTATAGGAGTCCCTGTCTCTCCTACTGTGATCGGGTGTCTTTCTTTGCACGTGGAACACATTTACTGGCAGCCCTAACTTCCAGGGAAAGAGGGAGCTTCTCTCATCCATTTCTATACACTGGTTTTGAAGAAGAATTCTGCTTGCACCTATGCATGTCTGTTGTACTGATGACCACTGGGTCTGTAAGGTTGGCCAGGCCTGGGAGCTGTGCCCAGTCTTGTAGCCAGGAGAGCAGGGACATCACCAAAGCAGGGGGAGTGGAGGGGCTAGCCAAGTGACTCCCTCCCCACACAAAAATTAGCTACCACAGCACCCTGTATGGTTCTTGCCTCCCTCTCTAGCTTTGTCTTGGGTTACTTTCATGTTGCAATCACTGCTGCATCCCCAAAACCCAGAAGGGTGCATGGAACGTGTAGGCCCCCAACCAACACCTGCTAAATGAAGGAAGGAAGGAAGCCTTGCAGCTCCTGGTGCAGCACCTCATCTCTGATTCTGTGTCTCAGTTGCTCTCTGGGCGCTCACCACACTGCGGCCACCTGCCTGCCATTCCTCTCTCATGGCGCAGCTGAAGGGGAGCCGCCTCTACCGAGTCTTCCTCTTGTTCCCTCAGCCCCCAAAGAATGGGTCAGCTCTCCTTGCTGTCCCACAGTCCCCTGGACAGAGCTGCGGGGACAGCACTGGGAAGCCAGAACAGCACAGCTTGGAAGTCAATCGGACAGATTCACTCTGTCGGATGTTGGCTCCTAGGAGACTCCGGGCCAGTGGCTTCACTTCACCAAGATTCCATTTTCAAATCTCTAAGGTGTGGATGATAATATTAATAGCACCTACCTCGAAATGTGGCTGAGAGATATCACACGCACAGAGGTCGGATGCTGGGGACTAGCCAGGTCCCCAAGCAGGAGTTGCCTAAGGACTGATGCCTCTTATAGACTCCAATTCCCTACACTTTTATTGGTATCATCCCAAGTTTATGTACTCATAAACCCTTACGTATCATTTACCATGTGCCTGAAACTGTTCTCTGCATGTACCCCCCCCACCATTACTATTCCCCTATTACAGGTGAAGAACCTGCTACACGGAGAGGTTAAGGCACTTCCCCAAGGCTGCACAGATAAGTGGCAGAACTGGGATTCAAAGTCAGGCATCTTGACTTCAGAGTCTGTCCCAGTAACAGCTTGGCCATGATACATCTTAGAATAACTGCACCATACATATTTCTGGGGTGGACATGTGATAGGTGGATAGATAGATGAGCTTGAGTGAGTCCCCTCCATGGACTAGAACAGAGGAGAGCATTCCTATCTTTGCCTCTAGCCAGCTGCTGTGTAGGGTTTTGGAGTACAAGCTGAGAGCTGCCTTCCTAGCTCCGTGCAATTACACCAGTTTTGGAACGGGCCTCAGGTTTGCATGGACAGTAATCTGCCCAGGCTGTGGCCCAGCCTGCCATAAGTATGCTCTGGGCTCTGTGTCACTGTTTGGTCTCTAGGGACCAGAATTACACCCTTGGATTTTGCAATTGTCTTTGAAAAAAAAAAAAATATATATATATATATGTGTGTGTGTGTATCTATCTATCTCTTTATATCTCTGCAGTCTATCTGGGGCCAGGGCTGGGCTACATATGTGGCCTATGTGTCTCCCCTCTCCTCTGCACACCCATTCTGCACTCTGTCTCTGTTTGCTCTGGGTGGCACTGCTGGCTGCGATGTCACCTCCTGCCTGTAGCTGCAGCTTTCAGCTCTTTAGCACCCACTTTCTCACCATTACTGGCAACATGCACATATTCCCAAGTGCTGAGGTGCCTCTGAGGGCATTGCTGACTTTGGCAAGTCCCAAATGGGTGCCATTTCTCCCCCAGACAGCCTCTGGAGAAGCCACGGAAAGTGTGGTAGGCCTGATGAGTTTCTAGCGACCTCGAGAATGTTTATGTCTTATCCGTGAACAAAGGGTGCATTCTGAGGCCTATTGAGATGATAAGGGACTAGAACAAGGCCCCGGGACCTTGCTTCTCACACACTACTAGGTCTGTCTTCCAGAGATACAAATGTTTCCACTTCGTGTTTAGAAAGTCCTTCTCCAGGGACAGCTCCCCAAGTGGCCTGGGGCCAACCAGCCTCCTGTCATCATTGAACAAGGTCATAGGACTCTGTCTAGATACCAGCCTTCCACCTTCCGGAAAGCCCAAACCCCTTTGTTGGCCTCTTGGAGAGAAAGCCGGTGAGAACCAGACTCCCTGGAACAACTGAAGTCAGGAAGAGGCCGAGAACTCACTGCAATGCTCTTCCCTGACATCCGGACACCTTGAGAGGCACCCTGGCTTCACCATGGAAAACCTCCCCATGGGGAATCCTCGTAGTTCAACTCTGACCTTGCTTCAAGCATATAGCTAGGCTGGAAATAAAAGGAAGCCAGGCCTGCCGCCCCCAAGCCCTCTCGACGGCTGAGGACGCGGCAGGCGCCAGCTGGAGTTCCTTCAGGGGGAGGCGCGTGGTGCTGCGGAGGCCACTGCTTCCGTCTGAGATGGAGATATTTTTAGGGATGAATCTGGGCCTTCCTTCTCTTCCTCCCTCTGATGCTAAGTGGCCATCTGCATCTCCCAGACAACCTCCGCAAGCAGCATCCTGGAAAAGTGGCCCGGGAAGAGATGGTTATTAAATATAGGCTACTGAGCTGCTGCGTAAGCAGGTGGAGTTTGCCTGGCATGCTAAGAGCCAGAAAGGGGCCCTGCAGACCGGAACCCCATCACTCACTCTGTGACCTCACAAGCACTTTGCGCTCTCTGGGCCTCCACTTATTCAATTTCTTCTTCTTTTGTTAATCTGCTAAGTAAGGGACTAGGTAAATATTTTCTCTAAGTTTCACCCTAACATTGCATCAGGATCTTGTCTTTGAAGAGCTGAGTTGTATAAGCTCCGAGACACAGTCATGGTCTAGCAGGACATCCCATGGTGACTGCTTTGTCCAGAGAAAGGGGGTTGTGACATTCTGAACCCATTCCTTTCCTCCCTCCACGGAGATGGTCTGTAAGGGAGGCTTGTGTGAGGTGCTGAGAAGCTCTGGCCCCAGCTCAAGACATCCCAGGCTCGCTTCCCTTCATGCAGTTAGCCCCCTCGGTTCTCAGCTTCCCTGCATCCAAGGAAAAGCTCATGTCCCAGCCTTTGGACCCACCCAGCAAAGATCTTTCTTATCTCAGCCCTCTGAGTTAAAAAGGTTGGGGGAGTTGGGAGGAGAAAGAGGCAGAAGTTCTGAGGGATGCATTGGTAAGTTCTAATTTTTGAGCCACTAAAACTTCTGTACTGAGAAATGCTGTCTGTTAAACTTGGTTGGCCCACAGTATTGGGCCCGAAATATTGATGAATTTGTTTTAATCTGAAGGGAGAACACTGTGCTATAGGTAAGCTGATAGAAATTGCAAAAGAAAAAACATAAAAGTAATAAAGACTACAGCTCCCATAGCATTGCATACTTCTGATTATTCATCTGCTGCATCGTAAGTTACATGAGTGCAGGAAACCATATTTATTACTAGTTCACAGTAGGGTTTGCTAAATCAATGAAGGACTCTGTCTCCATCTCCATCTTCGACATGGGCGTCACAGGCCCGGGCCAATAGCAAGGAGGCTGTATATCCAGTGCGGTCAAGCTAGGGGCAGAGGTAATGCTGTTTCTGGAAGTTCCTCACTATCTTGGATTTCCTATATTATTCCACAAATAAGGCCGGGCTAGGCCAGTGGGGTCTCCTCTTCCTTATAGTGTCCAAGCCTGAGTTCGGCAGAATGTTTGGATGAACTGGGAAGGTGTCAGGCCCAGAGCAGTTCTTTCAGGAATAGACTTGACCTGTTCAGTGCTCCAGGGGCATGGGCAGGGCTGTAGAGGCCCCAGCACATAGAGGTTGGGCATGCAGATTCTGGAATCAGATAGATCTGGGTTGAAGTCCAGACTCTGATACTTGCTAACCATGTGACCTTGACAAGTCGCTCTACCTCACTGATCTCGGTGTCCACATCTTTAAAAGGGGATGGTAACAAAACGAGAGAACGTGTGGAGGGCACTCCATCAGCCGGCATCACAGGCAGAGCTCCATCACCGTGGACAGCTGCCCTCTGAGAGGGCAACACTTGCTATGCTGACCAAGTCTTGAAAATGGAGCATGGACAGACTTTGCTGGAAAGTTCATCTGCAGGAAGATGATTGACTTCTGAGGATGCCAAGAGAGCTTCCAGGTAGGACAAGCCCTGGAAAAACTCAAAAGGCCAAGAGTAGTATCACAAGGTAAGGAGTAGAGAAAAAAAAAACAAAACTCCAGGCTTGAGGGGGCAAACTGTTCTGTCTGCACTTGCCTGGCAAAGGCATGTGGTCTCTGCAGAGGGTGGTCTGGTGCTGGTGGGATTCCAGCAGCCTGGAGCCACGGTAGTGTTTCTCACTGCCCAAGCCTGCCTGCTTCCCTCCTCCTGGCTCAGCTCAGTTCTGAGAACATTTTTGGATGCTTACATCGGGCCAAGCCTGGTGATGGGCTCTCGGTTCCAAAGGTGAGTCAGACGTGGCTCCTGCCCACGGGGATCCCTGTTTCGTGATCACTGCTACCAGAGCGGTGTTTTACGGTTATTTATAATAGTTGACAAGTGCTTCATATCCCTTGCTAGGCCCCCACCATTCACTGTGTTATCTGTGAGTAGTGCTCTCTCGTGACTAGCGGGCTATGGGCAACCCGAAAGGTGGGCAGAGCAGAGATTAAGGTAGCCATGCGACAGGCAAGAGAAGAGAGTGATTTGACCAAAGGAACACAGGTGGTCTGCACCACCGCCCTCTCCATACCAGCTTTATCCTAAGCAAGGCCAGTGCGCGTGAGGGAAAGATCCTATCTGCTGGCAGGGAGGTTCACTGAAGCTCAGGGTAGCCAAGGAGCCAAGCTAGGAGGGCGGTCCATAGTGCGCACACAGTCGGTACTGGAAGTGCCTGCTGCTCACCGTGTCTAAAAGGGGACGCTGGGGCTTGCTTTCCAGCTGCCTAGGCCAAGGAGGTTGAGGCCCAGCCCTTGCGTCTCCCTTGACACCAGCATACCCGCACCAGGGTTTTCACCGCGCAGCGCCACTACGTCCCGCTCACATGGCCCTCCGCTGGTCTCCGACCTGCGCTGGTCCGGGTGGGAGCGCCTGGGCGCCCACCGCGCCCTGGGCCGGGCTACAGCCCACGTGCGCCGGCAGTGGCAGTGACAGCCGGCCCCAGCGGGGCGGGGCGGGCTCCACGCTGCGCTGTCATTGGCCGCGCCTCCGACGGGGGCGTTCCCCAGCCCGGTCCACCGCGCCGAGCAGAACCGCAGGCGCTCGGCCGGCTTAGCCTGCGCTGGGCAGCCGCGCTCGCTCCCGGCTCCGCAGGCTGCCCGCGGGGCCCGACCGCTGCGCCCGTGGCCAGGGCAGAGGCTGGCACTGATCTCGGCACGGCAGCCCACGCGACTTTCGGTAAGGCGGGGGCGGCGCGGGGCTCTGGGGAGGGCGGCGGGCGAGCAGACGCGGGTGGAGACCGTGCGGCCCCGGCTGGACTCTGCGCCCTGTCCGGCGCCGGGGAGGGTCAGGTGCGGCCGCAGCATCCCGGGCTTCAAAGCCACCCCGCGGGGCGCGCAGGGAGCAGGTGGCGCTGCTGGAGAGCCCCGGGCGGCCCTGGCCAGTCTCTGAATCAATTAGAACGTAATAAAAGCGTCCCACTGGCACCCCAAACTACCCCTTCACTCCTCCCCAACACCCAAACCCTGCAGTTCCACGCCTAGAAAATCCTAAATGTCAACACGGAGTGGGAGTGACGCACCAGCAGTGCCGCCTGTCACCGGGCAGACGACCATCCCCAAACTTAGCTTCCCAGGATTCGGGCTGCGCGCCTTTCGCGTCCTTTCTCCGCTGCTCACTGGGCGCCCTTTCCCCCCTCCCTTGTTCCCCTCCCTCCTTAATAACAGGAAGTTAAGTTGGGCCAAATGTCAGTGGCCTGGCGGGCTGCAGGCTGGGCTCGAGTCTGGGGCCGGGGCGGGCCGTGGCGGTGGTCCGAGGGGCTGCGACGCTGTCCCCTCTGCGTCCCCGGCGCCCACCCTGTCGTTGCCTGGCCGGCCCCGACGAGAGGTGGGTGTTACCCGCAGCCTCTGCCACCACTGCCAGGCCAGAGCAGGTGGGGTTGACTTTATTCAAGGCCAGCCTCACCGGCAGAGCTGGGATCGGCCTTTACTGGATGGGAAGAGTGGTGTTGAAACCGGAGCAAACGCGTGTCTCCTTCCTCATTGTTTATTCTGAGGCCTGGGCTCTTAAAGCGGAAAGAGCTTTTATTTGGAAGCGCAGGGCCCCGCCTGTCCTGCAGCGGTGTGTGCGGGTCCTCCTGCTGTCAGTCTCGCCTGCTCACTACAGTCTTCAGTGATTGTGGTGATGGTGACGGAAGAAGCCCCCGTGTGGGCAGGTCCCGTGGGGGGGGGGGAGCCAGCGGCATGTTGACCCTGGGACCTTTGCATGCCTGGGCTCCCTGGCACCTGCGCCCCCTCCCCAGGGGCAGTGGACCCAGCAAGTGATCCTCCAGTGTCTCAGGCAGCCTGGTCCAATGTCCTGGAGACTCTCGTTGCAGGAAGAACCCACCTTCTTCAGGCAGAGAGAATCTGTCGATTTATTAGGTGCCTACTGGGCAACAGGTCCTGTCCTGAGGCACTTCTGCAGCCAGTTTCCTGGTGACTCTCCAAAAACTCTGAGAGTTTTGCCCTCCCCTGTTTAGAGATGGGGAAAGAGGCTCAGGTAGGGTAAGTGCCCAAGGTCACACAGAAAGTGTCTGAGCCGGTCCTGGCTCTGTCGGTGCGCAGTCCCGAGCTCTTCCTGCTGAGTGTGGCTGTGGGAAGCGCTGTGCAGTGCACAGGGTCATGGCACCACTGTGTGCTGACAGGAGCCTCCTGGCCTCTGGAAGATTCTGTCCATCCAGATTTCAGGGGATGCTTCTTTGGCAAAACAGTTGAACTGCCCGAGGTTAGCCCAGGCTGTTTAACCTCCAAGTCCCTTGCCCATTCCGTCCTCCAGTCAAGGGTGGTGGATAGTGCTGGCCATGTTGTGATGGGGAGGGATCCGCTGCTGGTGTTTGGGTGCTATTCTGGGGGGAAGCCTGCTTCCACCATGGCTGGGCCTCACCTCTGAGAGTTGGCTTCTGGAATAGTCTAGAAGGACAGTGTTAGCTGAAATAACCTCTACCTTAGGACTGATTCTAGTTTTGTGGGGTTTTCTTGGAGGGGGCAGGTATTGGGGTATGGTTGTGGGGTAATTAAAATCCACAGTTTGAACATACTCATAAAAATATGACATCACTTTTATCCCTGCCCCCTTCCTTCTTTAGGTCCAGGGCTCTGGCTTTTCTGCTCAAACCCGCTTCCAAAAGAAAATCATGATTAGCCTAATACCGATCAATTACACTTTAGTATAAATAAATCAGCTTAAGGACCGTGGCTGTGGCCATTGGAGGCCCATTCCCAGGAGCTTCAAGGAGCAGCCAGATAATCCCCGATTACTTCTCTGCCTGTGATTGGGGTGTGTCTCTATTCTCTCCGCCTGCGTTCACACCCTCGCCTGGATTTGCCTCCTCGCCATGGGCCTGCCCCCTTTGCTCCTCACTGCTGAAGAGTGGAGGTGCTGCCTTCTTGGTGGAGAGACTTGGCTCTAGGGGGATGGGATATGGTGTGGATACAAGAAGATTTGAGTTGAACACTGCTAATCTTAGATGCCCTCTGAGGGCTAATCATTCTGTTTTTCAAAGAGCCAGGCAGGAGAATACTGTTCACTATGCCAAGGCTTTTCATATTTATATCATTAGCCTTCGGAAGAAGTAGGTGGAGTTGTCCCCATTTTACAGATGAGGACAATGAGACTCAGAGGAAACTGAGTCCCCCAGCACACAGCTAGTGAGTGACCAAGCTAGGATCCTGGCCTCTGTCCATATGAGTGAGGTCTGTGTGTGGTGAACTCAATGCTACAGGAAGCAGGAAAGCCTGCAGCTGTCCTCGGAGGCATGGCATGTACACCTCCTCTGCTGTACGCTACAGTGCCCCATGGTCCCCCTATTCACGGTTTCAGTGACAATCAACCATGGTCTGAAAATACTGCAACAATTTGAGAGAGAGAGACCACATTCACATAATTTTATTACAGTACATTGTTGTCATTGTTCTATTTTATTAACAGTGTTGTTAAGCTCTTACTGTGCCCAATTTATAAATTGAACTTTATCATATGTCCTGTATATATAGGAAAAAACACAGTATATATAAGGTTCAGTACTAGATGAGGTTTCAGGCATCCAATGGGGGTCTTAGAACGTACCTCCCTGAAATAAGGGGGGACTACTATACTTACTACTCCCCACCGTATATTGTAATTATTTGCGAACATGTCTTCTCACCCCACTGTGAAATGGCATTTAGAATGCTCATAAACTTGGCAGATTTATTTTCTGGTTCTCACAAATCCTCCTTGCTCTTTGCTCTGTGTTCCCTTTCTTAACCTTTTATACAGGTCTCCATTAGGGTATCTACCATGATGTATTGCAGACCTCTAATAAAAAATACTATGAACATTTTCAAACACACAAAAATAGAGCAGTGTAATAGGCCCCATACACTCATTACCCAGCTTCCACAGTTGTCAAGATTATGCCAGGCTGGTTTCACCTCTCTCTCTCTTTCTTCCCCACTCTCTGCCTCTGTTCTTTCTGAAATATTTTAAAGCATATCTCGCAAATAATTACAATATAAGGTGGGGAGTAGTAAGTATAGTAGTCCCCCCTTATTTCAGGGAGGTACGTTCTAAGACCCCCATTGGATACCTGAAACCTCATCTAGTACTGAACCTTATATATACTGTGTTTTTTCCTATACATACAGGACATATGATAAAGTTCAATTTATAAATTGGGCACAGTAAGAGCTTTAAAATAATATGCTTTAAAATAAATATTTTAAAGCATATCAAAGCATATGCATTTAATAAAGCATATTAAAACATAATGCCATGTCTTCTTGCACCTGTAATAATCCAGTATACATCCCTTTTTAAAAGGACATTTTCTTGCATAACCTCACTTCCATTATTGCATGTAACAATCAACAGTAACTCTGGCATTGCCTATCTGTATTCATATGTCCTTGATCATCTTGGAAATGACCTTTATAGTTGGTTGGTTGGAATTGGGATCCAATCTCTGTGCAGCATTACGTTGTTAGTCCTTTTATGCCTGCTTTAATCTGGAGAAGCCCCCTCCCTTTAATCAGCAATTTCCCTCCCTTCTGCCTGCCCATGTTCTGCACTGGATATCGAGCCCCCTGACACCGGTGCCCGCTTCTGTGCTGAGCTGGATCCGCAGCTCGGGCACCGAGCCCGGGACGTAGCACAGGCTCAGCGAGCATCTGTCCAGTTGTGTCGTAGCCACTCAGGAAATGTGTTTTGAATGAATGAACGCTATTGTGGGTTTGAGTGACTTAGATAAGCGGTTTTAAAAAAAAGATGACTTGCTCGCGTGCGGACGTTTCCTCAGCAAGCGTCAGTCTGTAAACATCCTGAAATAATGGGAGAACTATTTGCTGCGCTTGCCCTGGCCGTGCTAGTTCGCGGTGGGGAGCCCAGACAGCTGCGTTTGTGCCCTGATCAGCAACTGGCCTCCGCAGATCACATGTGCAGCTGACAGGGACTGAGGTCGTTTCTGTCCAGGCTTGAATTCCGCCACAGTAATGACCACGTTATCACTGAGACACTTGGCGCTGGGCTTGGTGAAGACGCCGCACGCTTTTTCTTCCTTCTCTTTCTGGGCAGTGCTTCTTCCCTTGGGCCTTCGAGAGCCTGCCCTCACCTGCCTCACCCTGCGCCAGTGGTGGGGGCTTTCTCAAACCGCTGTTCCTCTGCAGCTGGGGAGGGTCATGGCAGAGCCCGACCGTTCGTGACCTGTAATCGTCTGAATTTGCTCTGTAGAGATAGTATCACCACCGGCACGGCACCTGTGTGGGCAGCCTAATACAGGAAACCAGAGGTTCAGGAGGAAAGAGAAAGATGCAAGCCTGCTTCTCTTGACAATGAACTTCATACCTGAAGTTGACAATGAACTTCATATCTGGTTCCCCGGCCAGATCTCCGTGAGGGCTCTGGGCACTTTGGTAGATGTCTTTTTGCCCACCCAGTAAAGGCCCTTCCTTCCT